TTTGCTTTGTTCTCTTGCTTGACTGGTCTTGTGACCGTTGGTTGTTCTTGCTATCCCCCACTCCTCGTCTTCGTACTCGGTATGGTCTACTCCTTTAGCGTGCAGGAATGTTTACTTGTGAAGTTCATATATCAACACTTATGATTGTATTTCTAACAGCTGTGACAATATGAACCGACGATACAATGAATGACGCGAGATAATATAGCGGGCCAGCCTAGCTAGGCGGGAACCTCGGGAACACGAGGTTGGCTGCAGGTTGGGCAAAGGGAAACCGAATGCGATTTGAGGTTGCTTCGGTAGCAAGCAAACCGCCCGAACGTGCACTTCCGAAAGTGGGGGTTGTACTCGAAACAGTAAACCCCGTTAAGGAGAAAAAATTTGTTCCTTACACCTGTGCTAGGCCTCATTATTGATGCAGTAGTTGTAATCACTTCTTTGATATTGACGCGCACTCTTTTCATTAACAAATCATAACAGAATTGCACCCTTAAAACATAACAATTATGACTTGTGTTCCAAATGTACTCTGTTTTGACACGGCTGACGCGGAGATTGGTTGGTGAGGAAGGCAACGTGGCACCATCAACTCCACACCAAACCCACAGGTGATGGGTGTCCGTTTCCGAACGTCACTGAGAGCGTGATTCATGCAACACGTGGTTGCTTCGTTCACGTTTGGGCGGATACCGTACTGAGACGTACTCCGTCCTACTGAAACATTAAGTAACGTGCAGAACATACGGGCTTTGCCACTGTCCCCTTCGATGATCATGTTCCCTTCCCATCCCATGATGACTCCTCCAGACCAGCTTCCTCCTGATCATTCCCCTCTCCCTCATTCCCCTCCATACAAGTGACGAAACCCATCCGTCAAATCCCTCTTTCTCGAGCTGATGTGACTTTCGTTCTCAGCAGTGAGCAGCAGCCTCTGCCCTTGGTGGCGCTTGGCTCGTCTTCGAAGTTTCGGCTGAACATGAACTGAGACACTCCTCACGTATCGCGTGCTTCTTGCCCGCTGTTGCGTCAGCCTCTCCTTCGTTCATTACGAAACCATAGCCGCGCTCAGGCCCCCCACTGACGCAGCGAAATGGCTTCAATGGCCGCCCATGGCGGAGTTGCCTCGGGCCCAGCCGCCTCGATCGCGCTCACCACCACGTCTCGCCTTGTCGTCACCGCGCCTCCCACGGCCTCGTCCAGATTCCCCACCATCTCGGCGCGCATGTCGCATTCGGCAGTAGACGCGCGACGAACGGCATGGTTGCGCGGCGCCTGCTCTGATTCGCCTATCGCTGGGTCCCCCGCATTCGCCGCGACCGCTTCTCGCGCGTCCGCAGTCCCATCGTTTGTCCGTCCCATGGCTGCCGCATCTCGCCGCCGCGCCCGCCGTTCATCGCGCGAGCCGTCGGATCTATCGACGGATGGCCCAGCGGCTCAGCGACGGCTGGGGAAGGCTGCAGCGGCGGGCGCGGGGGGGCCTGCGGGGTCTCCCAGCAAGCGAGTGCGTGCGGAGGCGGCGACGTCAGGGGCGGGCGGGCGGCAGAGCTGGGACGTGGTTGGCGTGGGTCAAGCCATGGTGCGTTGGGGAGATGAGTGAGTGCGTTGGGGGACGCAGGGCGGCGGAATGAGGATGTGAAAATGTTGACGGTGGGGCAGCGAGGCCGTGTGCAGGGAGGGGAACGGTGTGGGTGGTGGATGGGGGAGAATCTGGGAAACGACGAATGGGAAGTGAGGTGATTTGCTGGGGTTTAAGGACCAAAAACCCCTTTGCAGGACGAATGGCGTCTCTCACGGACGTTTTTCGTGTGAGGGTTTGGGGGTCGGAAGGTGGTATGCATGCGCACGCGCATCTCACCCCCTGCGCAACTCTGTGCCACGGCGCACCTCCCCACACACACAGACCCCTTCCCCTCTTCCCCCCATTCTCCTCCCTCCACTCGCGCGTCCCCCGGCAGGTTGACTTCGCGGCGATGGTGGACGACGACTTTCTGCGCGCGCTGTCGCTCGCCAAGGGCGCTCGCACGCTCGTCGACCACGAGGAGCGCGGCCGCGTCTTGCGCGCGCTCGACGGCTGCAGCTACAAGCTCTCCGCGGGCGGCTCGCTCTCCAACACGCTCGTTGCGCTCGCGCGCCTCGGTGCCGTCCCCGCCTCAGCCCCTGGCAGCAGCAGCAGAAACAGCGGCGCTGGTGGCGCAGGCAACGGTGCAGCGGCGGATGGCGGGCCGGCGCTGCGCGTGGCGATGACGGGCAGCGTGGGCAGCGACCCCCTGGGGGAGTTCTACCGCACGAAGCTGCGTCGCGCCAACGTGCACTTCTTGTCGAAGCCCGTGGCGGACGGCACGACGGGCACCGTGGTGGTGCTCACCACGCCTGACGCCCAGCGCACCATGCTCGCCTACCAGGTACTGCTGCTGCGCGCCGAGTCGCACGCTGCCACTCGCAGCATTCTCCCTCACTCGCCTCCGCACTCCTCTCCCTATCGAGCCGTCGCATCCTCCTCTCGCCTCGCTCTAACGCGCCCCGCTTTCTGGTCGCCGACCTGTCCCGCACCCCCCCCTTTCGTCCCCCTCCCCCTGCGCGCCCCCTCTGCCAGGGCATGTCGTCCGTGGTGCGGCTGGACGCGGCGCTGCAGGCGGCGGTGAGCAGCGCGCGCGTGGTGGTGGTGGAGGGGTACCTGTGGGACCTGCCCTGCACCGTCGACGCTATCGCGCACGCCTGCCGCGCTGCCAAAGCCGCCGGCGCACTCGTGGCGTTGACAGGCAGCGATGTCACGTGCATTGTGCGCCACCGACCCCAGTTCTGGTGAGAGCAATGCGCCGCGAGGGTTGGCGTGGAGGGAGAGGCGGGTGCATGAGGTGCTGCCTGAGGTGTGACAGTCTGTGCCACCTCGCTCTTGCCCTTCTCTCGTAGCTCGTCCTGTTCTCCCTGATTACCTTGGCACTCCCCCTGATTTGTATTTCATGCCGGCTTGGTATCTTACCCCTATGCCCACTCTACCCGTGTGTGTGTGTGTGTGTGTGCGTGTGTGTCACTCGGTGCCTACAGGGAGGTGATGTCACAGTCAGCGGACGTCCTATTTGCCAACGCCGATGAAGCGTGTGCGCTGCTGGACTGCCCACCCTCCACGTGCCCAGCATGGGCCGCCCTGCAGCTGTCCCGCTACTGCCCCCTCGTGTCAGTCACCGATGGGGCCAAGGGTGCTTACATCGCCCACAGGGGCACAGGCGTCACGTTTGTCCCCTCCGCGCCATGCCATGCCGTGGACACGTGTGGTGCTGGGGATGCTTACGCAGCTGGCTTGCTGTATGGCCTTCTGGCGTGTGGCTTTGAAGGGTTATCGGATATGGGCCTGCAGCAGGAGCTGCGGTTGCGCAACGGAAAGAATAAGAAGGGCGGGAGAAGTGGCATGGGAGTGAGCATCAGCAGCAGTGATCTCATGAGTGGGAGCAGCCCTGTGTCCGCCATGTCAAGTGATGCTGCGTCCATGCCCCTCAGCTCTTCCTTTCCAACCTCTCTCTCATCGACTTCATTCTCCCCGTCGACTTCACACTCACCATCACACCCATCGCTAGGTTCGCTGCTTGCGCCTCCTGATGTGGCGGCCATTGGAGCCTTTGCTGCCCGTGTGGCAGCTGTGGTGGTGGGGCAACAGGGGGCGCGGTTAAGCGAGGATGCAGCAGCAGAGTTGGTGGGGTGGTGGACGAGAGAAGAGGGTCGGCTGGGGAGGAGTCGTGTGATGGAGAACAGGCAAGACTTGGTGCTGGAGTGATTAAGGCTCTGCTTGCATTTAGCAATGACTCCTGCACCAACTTTTTAGGAGATACACGGTGCATCATGCAGTCAGTGATGGAGGAGAGACACATCAGGCCAGGCTAGTCTCAAGCTTCGCATTGTTACGTCAAAGTCCTAGTTGTACCGTAAGCCAGTATTTTTCCACAACACAGTCGCTTGTACCATGCTAGTGCCGTTCGAGGTCTGTAAAGTACTGCTGAATACGAGTTATACCACATTTGCCTGTCTTCTCCCTGATTATTGGTGGAGACGCACTTGCGATGCACGGGAGAAACGCCGCATGTGTCTCTAGGTGGATAAATCTGGTAAGAGCATGGGACAAATAAAAGGACTACATATAAAACTTTTTGAACCCAGTGCATTAGAATCACCTTGTTTTTTCCTCGTTTCCGTCAATCGCGTGGGAAGTGTGACCGCGTGAGAAATATACATGTAAAGCGAGGAACAACGGGCATTGGGAAAGTAAGGGAACGACACCCTCTCAGGATGCGGGAATGATTTGAGACTAGATGTTTTTTTTATCAGACTAGATGTTCGTTCGCAGACTACACGGCGGTGGGCTCCATCAGATCCAGGCGAGATGTAACGACGCCACCTGGCGGGCTGAAGTCATCACTGCACAGATAGTACGCTCGAACGTCTCAGCCCAGACAAATCAGAACAAGATTCGTACCCTACAGCTCTAGGGTTTGCTCCGCCCTGCAGTCGAGAAGATGAGAGTTTCATTCTTGCAACTGCTTCCCCCAACACAACTGCGTTTCCCTGCGTAGGCCCGCCAGCAATATCCTCTTGGTACCAATTCGGCTCCACCAATTCGGCTCCACCAATTCGGCTCCACCAATTCGGCTCCACCTGTCCAACCAGTTGCGACTCGAGCAGACTCCATTCGTAATTCCCTGCTGCCGCTTCTGAACCTCCGACGCCAGTTCGTATGACCCTTTCGCTTGGCACCATTCGTAATGCGGCTGCTTGACGCACAGTGAGGTATCAGGCAGGCCAGTTTCGCGAATCCGTGTCAGGACCCTTTTTTGGCCACGAGGTTCGCAGAAATCGTGGTCCCGTCAGCGGCAATACGAGCCAGCAGGGAATGGAGCAGCCCTGTCACGGAGTCCCAGTCGCGGTAGCCTGTCCGAGCTAGTTCGGCCTGGTGTCTCCGAAACAGAAGTTTCACCGATACGAGTTCCCACGACCGCACCTTCCCATTGAGAATGAGCAGCGGTCGCGACGGGCAGATGGGAGCGTCCGGCGGCGAGCAGCGGGTGGAGGCAGGGCACGTAGGTGCGAGTGCGAGTGAGCAACAGGTAGGCACGGACGGCGCTCCTTCGCAACGGACCATCTCGCCCACCGCTCCCTCCCTCGCGCCAGTCGGCCTTCCCCCAACGGTCACCGGCGCAGCTGGGCCGCCGGCTACGCTGCGGGAAGCGTCTGCGGTTCAGCGGTTCGCGTACCACAAGAAAGGGGCCCTGCCCCCCATCAGCGCGCTGGCGCAGCGCGAGATCTTGGCGCTGAAGCGCGCGCACCCCGAGCTGGAGGACGCGCACATCGCGGCGGCGGTGAGCAAGCGGTTCGGCATGTACGTCCGCGCGTACCACGTGCGCGCGATCCTGCAGCGCGCGTCGGGCGAGCGGTGGGCGTCGTGCAGCAAGACCAGCTCGGACCGATACAAGAACGCGGAGCTTGAAGCAGAGATCGTGCGGTGGGTGCGCGAGACCAAGGCGCGCGAAGAGGCGGCGAGGCTGCCGAGCACGCGGTGGATCATCACGCTGAGGCGTGTGAGCAAGTACGCCAAGGAGATCGGCGCCAAGTATGGTGTTCCGCCGCGGTTCTTGTATTCGACGGGGTGGTGCAGAATGGTGCTGGAGGATGCAGGGCTGGATAGACGCGGTAACGAGATGGACAGGCGCGTGTTGGAGATTGAGGAGGGTGCGGGTGGGGGTAGCGGAGAGGGACGCGGGGAGAAAGGAGGAGCGGTAGGCGGAGAAAACGGGTCGCATGAGGGGCAGGAGGAGGCAGAGAGGGGCGGAGAAGGGCGGGGTAGCGGTTGCACACAGGCAAACGCTGACGTGAACACCGGTGCTAGTGGTGGCGGTGCTGCTGCTGCTGCGCCTACTCCTGCTGCTGGTGCTGCTGCTGTAGCTGATGGTGCAGCGAGTGGCGGTAGAAAGGCGGAATGGCGTGCGATCGTGGAGCATTGGAGGCACCCTTTCCTGGGCGACAGAAGCAGCAACACGGGCGTGTCCCGGCCGATCCAGAACACGAACCAGCCACTGGACATCAGAATCCGGTACGAGATCGCGGTGGTGAAGCACGTGCGCCCGTTCCTGGACAACAAGGTGGTGTCCGCCGTCGTGCTCGCCAAGTACGGCATAGACGTGCCTCCCAGGAAGGTCCAGCGCATTGTGGAGGAGAGCGCCAAGTGGATCGCAGCGGGCGCTATCCCTGCCACCACGGAGCCCATGGTGAGGCTGGAGGATGCGATAGCGGCGTGGGTGATGCGCGAGGAGCAAGGGCGGGGGAGGGAGGTGACGCGGGAGCGGGTACTGGAGAAGGGGAATGCGGTGGCGGGGAAGTTCTTGCCGCGCGTGCGCAGGCCGTTCACGCAGCAGTGGGTGGCGCTGTTCATGCGCCGCTATGGGCTGCTGCTGCTGCCGCTCACCCCGGGGCCCTCGGGTGGCGTGGAGGGGGGCGGGGAGGAGAGCGGGAGTGAGGAGGAGGAGGCCGCGGATGAGGAAGGAGGCCGGGGCGAGGGGAAGGAATGGGGCAAGGATGCGCGTGGAGGGGAAGTGGGGGCAGGGGAGAGTGGTGCGGAGGGAGGGACGGGAGGTGGTGGGTTTAGGGAAGTGCGGTGGCGGATGAGCAGGGGTGGGGATGCGGATGGGACGGGCGCGCAGTGGAGTGACGGTGCTGCTGCTGGTGGGGCTGACGGTGTGCAGGGGATGGCAGGCGGGGTAACGAGTGAGGAGGAGGGCGGGGAGGATTCTGAGGAGGATTCTGAAGAGGATGAGGATGAGGAGGAGACGGGGCAGGGATGGAGGGATGGAGGGAAGATGAGAGGCGGGGAGGGGAAGCAGGTGGAGGTGGTGGTGGAGCTGCAGGTGGACAGCCGCCACTTCCCAGCAGCAGTGGCAGCAGCGCGGCGGGCAGCAGAGGAGACGGTTCGGGAGTTCCAGAGGGACGTGGTGGAGGAGGCGGTGTTTGATGCGGGGCTGCTGGTGCGCGGGGCCGTGGGGTACGGCAGCCAGCTGTGGCTGCGGGATGAGCGCGGGCTGGATGTCAGGGGCCGCGGGCTCTGGGCCAGGCACAGGCGGCTGGCGGCTGCTGGTGCGATGAAGGGACGGGGCGGTGTGGGGGGGGTGGGAAGTAGGGGGAAAGGGAAGGGGAGAGAGGTGCCGGAGGTGGTTGAGTTGAGTGATGACGAGGAGTGTGTGCCGGGAGGAGAGGGCGAGGCTGGGGTGCAGCAGAGGAGAGAGAGTGGGGAGGAGGCGAGGGTAGAGACAGGAGAGGAGGGAAGGGTAGAGGGGGAAGAAGTGAGAAGCTTGGTGGACGAAGGAGGGAAGGGGGACAATGGAGGGGCAGGAGACGGCGGGGCAGAGGATGGAGCGGGAGAGGATGGAGCGGGAGAGGATGGAGCGGGAGAGGATGGAGCGGGAGAGGATGGAGCGGGAGAGGATGGAGCGGATGGAGGGGATGGAGGGGAAGGGGATGGCGGGAGAGAGGATAGAAGGGGAGAGGATGGAGGGGCAGAGGGAAGAGTAGAGTTGGGGATAGAAGAAGGGGTAGATGCTATGGCGGATGAAGTCGGGGATAGGATAAGCAAAGATGCAATGGCGAAGGCGAGTGTGGACAAGAGCACAGAGGCAGGTGAGTGTGCCCGAAAGCAGTCACCAACCAGTAAGGCGGCCACCAAACCACCTAAGGAGCGGCACGAGGCGGGGTATGGGTCGAGCTGGTTCCTGTGCGAGCGCGTGGCGTGCATGGGGCGCTCCTACCGCAGCAGCCTGCCCACCGAAACCCTGCTCATCCACGCCCCCGCCTCCTCGCTCGGCACAGCGTCTCTCGACACACAGGGTTCCGACGAGGAGGAAGAGGATGAGGAGGATGAAGAGGAGGAGGAGAGGCATGCAGCACGTGAGCAGAGACACGGCGTAGGGGGTGAGAGTGCGCGGCACGCGGCAGGGCGGTTCATCTACCTCTCACGGCCCCTGCGGCGGCAGCGGCAGGGCGAGGGGCAGGAGGCGAGCAGAGTGCTGCAAGGAATGACCCTGAGCCGCGTGCGCGCGCTGTGCCTTGTGGTGCAGTCTCGCCCGAGCCTACAGCAGGCGCACATTCTGAAGGCGGTGGAGAAGGCGTGGGGCGTGAGCATGAGCGGTGGCGTGCTCATGGCCATTCTAGCTCAGAGGCACCGCTGGCTGCACCTGCCACAGGGGCTGTCGCTGCGCCTGCTCAAGAGGCCCAGACTGAGGGCCAATAGGCTGCTCGAGGTGGCGCTCGCACGCTGGATCGAGGGCTTGGGCGCGGGGGTGAAGGTTTACTGGGAGACCATCTGCTGGCCGCCCCGCCTTGCTTCTACTGATGAGAGCCGTGGCGCCGCTGCTGCTGCTGCTGCTGCTGCTGCTGCTGGTGCGGGTGCTGGTGCGGGTGTTGGGGGTGGTGGTATGAGCAAGCGTGTGCGGTATGTGCTGTCAAAAGAGGTGATTATAGCAGTGGCGCGGAGGATTGGACCCATAGTGGGAGTGGTGCCCACGTTCAAATACGCGTACAGCTGGTGTGGGCGGTTCGTGCAAATGGTGGCCAAGTGTCGCGCGCTGCAGGCCGCGGCAGCGCGTGAGAGAGCAGGCATGCAGGCGGGCCTCCCTGGGAAGGAGATGCAGGGCGCAGCCGTAGACAAGGAGCACGTGGGTGTGGGACGTGGGGAGGGGGGGGGGCAGGGAGGCGGGGTTAGGGAGGGTGGAGTGGTCTTGATCGAAAGGAGTGGTGAAGTGGCAGGACGGAATGAAGGCAGGGAGGGGGAGGATGTTGGGGATGAGGAGATGGAGGAGGAAGTGGAGAGGCTGTTGGAGGAGGAGAGGCAAGGTGAGGGGGTTGTGGGGCGTGGGGAGCATGGAGCCAGTGAGTCCTGGGATGACCTTGCCGTGTGGGACCCACGCATGGATTGTGCGGTTGAAGGTGCACGAGGGGCAAGTGGGGCAGCAGCAGCTGAAGGGATGGCAGGGGGGGATTCGGAAGCAGGCAGATGTGCAAGGCAGGAGGAGGCGTGGAGAAGGGACTTTCTAAAGAGGGTGGAGAGGCACTTGCTGGAAGCTCAGATGAGCCAAGGTCAACGTGGGGAGGCTCAAATGGGGGAGGCGCGAGTGGGAGAGGCTGAAACGTGGGAGAATCAGTTGACACGGAGACGAGGGCTGGACGTATCAGTGGTGGGCGCTGAAGCAGAAGCAGGAGTATCGGAGCCGTCAGCGGCAGTGGTGGTGGCGGCGGTACGGCGGGCGCTGTGTGAGTGGGTGGCGGAGGGGGTGGTGGGGCAGCGCGCGGACTCGGAGGAGGCACGGGAGCAGGTGGTGGTGGTGGGCGCGGTGGGGGCGACGTGGGGCGTGCAGGTGCGCGAGGAGGACCTGGCCCTGCTGTGGCAGCAGCGCACACAGCTGCTGGGGGCTGCGTGGCAGGCACGCATGAGGGAGAGTCTGGCGAGGAAGGGTGGGGTGGGGGATGAGAGTGCGAGACAGGGGCAGAGGGAGGGGGAGGAGGGGGATGGTGGAAAGGAGGAGGGGGACGATGGGGTGCAGGGGGGATTGAGAAGTGCTAGCACGATGCAGCGATTGGAAAGATTGCTGGCGAAATGGGTGAAGGGTAGGGTAGCAAGGGGGCAGGGAGAGAGTCAGGAGGAGCGGCAGAAAGAGAAAGGGCAGAGCCAGGGGTTATCATGCGTGCGAGAGGGGGGCGCGACTCCTGCTCCTGCTCTCTCTGCCACAGCTATCCGTGGCTGTGCCATGCACCTGCTGCTGAAATGCAGCATGCCTGTGTCCATGTCTCACATGTTCACGCGCCAGTGGATGCTCGCATTCCTGCACCGCTGGGCCATCAACCCCTGCCTCGTATCCGGCCTTGACAAGCTTCCATCCTCTACACCCGCCACTAATACCACAACCATCACCGTCACCACCACTGCTGCTGCTGCTTCCGCGGCTGCTGCCGTTGCCGGTGCTGGCGGAAGACCATCGGGCGCACAAGAAGGGAGCTCAGGAGGAAGGAGAGAGCTGATGACACACGCAGCACAGGCATCAGTGGCAGCAGAGGCGGCAGGGGCAGCAGAGAGTGCGATGGAGGTGGGGGTGGATCTGCTGGAGTGGGTGGATGCACGGGACGTGCGGGCGCTACTGCGCGCCATGGACGGGGAGATCTGGCGCGTGCGCCTGCGCGTGCGGCAGCGCATGCGGTGGCTCAGCTCGGTGGACCAGCTGCAAAGCCAGGCCCGGCGAAAGGGGGAGAACGGCGCGAGGGGGGGCACGGGGGAGGGGGGGGACGCGGGGAAGGGACAAGAGGGCGCGAGTAGGGTGGGTGGGGATGGTGGATGCTGGGGTGATTTGAGTGGTGGGGGGGAGAAAGGCGGTGAGAAGAGTGGGAGATTGTGGAGGAGTGGTTTGTTCAACACGCCGTGTTATTATGACCCGCTGAGCGACGACCGGCCTAAGAAGGGCGTGCGTGCGGGCCAGGTGCGTGGTGACAAGCAGAGGCAAGGTGCCGAGGAGGGCGAGGACGAGGGAGGGATGGAGGGAGGAGACAGGGATGATGCAGAGGTGGACGCAGAGTGTGTGGTGAGTGGGGGGCTGGATAGCGGGGGAGAGACAGGAGAAGGTGAGGGAGAGGAAGGGAGGGATGGCGCAGAAACGGGTCGGGGAAGAAAAGAGGGGAGAGGACGAGGAGAAGGGGGAGGACGACGGGGGGGGAGAGGACGAGGAGGAGGCAGAGGGAAAGAAGGAGGGAGCGGGAAAGAAGGAGGGAGAGGGGCAGGAGGAGGGAGAGGGAAACGAGGGAGTGGGGGAGGAGGAGGGAAAAGGGAAGGAGTGAGAGGGGGAGAAGCAGTGACAGGGGGAGAAGGAGAGGAAGGTGGAGCGAGGGAAAGAGCGAAGCGTGGCGGAAGAGTGAAAAGCGGAGGGGGTCCGAGGACGAAGAAGCTTGTGGGAGTCAACTGGGATGGCTTCTGGAGTTTCGATGATGGCCATGCCGCTGGGAATGCTGGTGAGGGAGCGGATGGTGGGAGACAAGGTGGAACCGATGCTCGTGATGTCACTGCACCTCCTGCTGCTGCTGCTGCTGCTGCTGCTCGTGCTGGTGCTGCTACTGGTGATGGTGCTGCGGCTGCTGCTGCTGCTGGTGATAGTGATGTTGGTGGAAGCAGTGACAGCAGTGGGGCAGGGGATTACGTTCAACCTCTCCCGCACCAGCTTCCCAACTCTCCACAGCAACCCAATTACCAACCACAGCCGCAGGGACAGCAGCAGCAGCAGTGGCAAACATGGCCTGGGTGGCAAACGCCTGGAGTAGTGTGGCAGAGGGTCGGCAACGGGTGGCAGCAAGTGGTGCCTCCACCGCCCATGATGGGGTGGCAGCCTAGCATGGGGGGCAGTGCAGCGCAGGCAGGTGCTGGTGCATCCAACTCTCCATGGCCCAGTGCCGTGCCCACTAATCCATGGCCTGCTGCTTCCGCTCCCCCACACCCATCGCAACCCTTCATGGGGGCATGGCCTATGGGGATGGGGGGATGGCACCCTCCACCAGCAGCACCAGCATCGCAAGCAGCAGGGATGCCAGCAGCAGCAGGAGAAACAACGACAGAAGCAGTGACACCGGCAGCATTGGCAGCAGCAGTGGCGGCAGCAGCAGTAGCAACAGGTGCAACACCGGATGCAGTGGCAGCGTGGTTTCGGCAGCAGCAGCAGCAGGCAGCAAAGAACCAGGAGCAGCAGTTGCTGCAGCAGCTTCGGCAGATGCTTTCAGGCCAACAGCAGCCTCAGCAGTCTCAGCAGCAGCAGACAGCTGCAGGAGCCACCACACCGTCCGTACTCTCATTTCCTCCCCCACCTCCATTTCATCAACACACCCAACCGTTTCACTCCTATCCCCCTCCCCACGCACCAAACCCATACTCCCCACACTACCCTCCATTCCCAACCCACCCATCTTCCCAGCCCTTCCCACCCCAGCCATTCCCGGGCATGCCTCCTTGGTCGCAACAGCCCAATGCCTCGCAGCCTCGTCGTCCTGTTGCTACAGCTACTGCTGCTACCAAAGCTGTTGCTGTGGCTCCGACTGCACGTGCTTACATGGGCGTTGCAGGAGATCAAGCTGGTCCAAGACAGAAGGACACATGGAAGAGAGGGCAGGAGCATAGGGAGGAAGCTGGGAGGGTGGGGAAGAGGGCTAAGGGAGCATTGCAGCAGCAGGCGGTGCAGAAGAGGAGGGCTGAGGAGGTGATGCAACAATGGCAAGGGGCAGCACAAGCGTCGGCTTTTCAGAGTGCATGGAAGTCGCTGGTGGTGCACGGGAGTGACGATGAGGGAGGAGATGATGGGGAAACAGAGGATGATGAGGAAACGGATGATGATGAGGAAACGGAGGATGAGGAAACAGAGGATGAGGAAACAGAGGATGAGGAGGAAACGGATGACGAGGAAACAGAGGATGATGAGGAAACGGGGGATGAGGAGGAGGATGTTATTGAGGTTGTGGGGACGAAGAGGAAGGCACCTGTTAGTTCTGTGAGAGGGAGAGCAAAAGTGGGGAGGCAGGGAAAGGGACAGAAGAGGACAGTTAAGTAAATCTAGGGATGGCGGGCTGGCAATCACTTGACAGCTACTAGTACCGCATTTGTCTGAGAATGAGGTATAGCAGATTAGAAAGCCAGTTCTGGTACTCCATGTCTATACATGCGATTTACATGGCCCAAGTGGTACAACAAAATGGCTGGTTTCAGCTGTTTTTTATGACGTACACACACAAAGTGTTACAATCCTAAAAGGGACTTAGCCAGGGATCGGCTCAGGGTTGATCGCAGGTAGTTTTGTTGCAGCGGAAGTGTTGACCTCAAGTAAGAGTGAATGTAAATGACTCAGATGAAGCATGCAAACATCGTGTTTATATAGGAATACAGAGGGAAAACGAATCGTCCTAGCTAGCCATGTACTCTAAGGGGATACATTCCCTTATTACAGCGATTTCAAACCGTGTGGCGCGGAAACCCGTTTCAAACTTGTTCCCGCTCTTTTCACTTCAAATGTTTCTGCCTGCATCGGTCCCGATCTGACGGTTGCTGGTGTCGCTTCGACTCTTCTGACTCATCGACTTCGTACTCGGTAGAGTCAGCTCCTGCAGCGTACAGGAATTCCTTCTCATAAAGTTTCATATCTCAACACAAAGCACTCATTATTCGTTTTGAGGTTTCAAGTGGTCATGCCAGCAAGGTAGGGGAACGCACAGGCACACAGTTGACAACCACAAGTGCACTAGATGACAACTCAAGAGCAGGGCCCAAAATAGGTTTAGGTCCACTCTTTCAAATCAGGGTTCCAGGCCCCCAGTACCCTGACTGTTAGGGTAACATATTTCGTACCCTGCCAAAAACAGCCTAAAAACACCAGTACGCTGATTTTAAAAGGGTGAAATGTTTTCCCTTGACAATTAATCTTTATAGTGCTATAACTCAACTGGATATGTCTCAGCTAGTCAGAAGTTATTCAAGGTTTAGAAAGGTCGCGAGCTCAAATCATGCTGGTGCACAAATTCTTTTGTGGCTTCGCAAGGAAAATCCTCGCTACAGAGGATTCGGTATCAGTGAAGTATACAGTGCACCCTGATATCGGCAGGGTAACAGACATCGTTATCAGTGTAAATCAAAACTTAGCCTGTTTGCTCTAGGGTAAAAAAATTGATACCCTGTTTTGGCAAGGGTAACTGGGAAAAAGCGGCCTACCATCAGGGCAATTTGGGACTGATGGTCACGAGGGAATGAATGTGCGAAGAGGGAGAGAGGGCAAGAAGCAGAGTCCTGGGACGAGCAGAGAGGCACTTTCATGGAAGGCAAGGCACCAGAGCAGACAAGGGGGCAGGTAAGAGCCCATGCAGGTGTGACATGCGTCGTGAATCCACCCAACGCCCAGTGCAGGCAGGCAGTGACCTGAGGGGGGCGTGCACAGCCATGCCGGAGAGGTAGAGGTAGTCCTGCGCCCCTGACAGGTGCTTCAGCACACTGCGGTCGTCCAGCGCTGTCAGGTCCACCACTCCCACCACCTCCACTGCTGACGCTGCTGCTGCTGCTGCTGCTGCTGCTGCTGCTGCTGATGTGGATGCTGATGGCGGTCTCTTGGAGCTTTCCCCTGCAGGTGACTCGCTGGTTGGGTGAGGAGGCGGAAACGGCTGGGTGGAAGGCTGTGCCACGAGATGGGTCGGTGGGAGGTGGGGATGCACACGGAGACATGCCACAACCACTGCAAGCAACTCTAAGGCAATGAGCGGGAAACAGAGGCTGCATGGAAGGAGGAGACATGGAAGTGTGGGAGATTAGGAGAGGGGAGGAAAGAGATTGAGGCTGGCTCAACCTAGGGGAAGGGAAGAAGCTCATTGCCACGAGAGTCCATCCCATCTCTGCCCACCTCCCTCCTCGCCCCATCCTCCCCGCTTCCCAACTTCCCACCCGGCCTTGTCCTTCAGTGCAGCCAAGCCACAGCCGGGAGGCACGAACCCAACGGATTACCCTGTGAGCACAACAGCCTACCTGCTGGGCTAGCCCTCTGATGAGCTCTTTCTGAAGGACCTTGCACTGCCCCGCACCCAATGCACGGCCCTGCACGCCACGCCACGGGCACCAGCTCAGGGGGCGGACGCAATCGCCGCATTCTACCGCGCACCACAGCTCACCCGTGGCCCATCCCATCCCACAGCGCACCCAGGAAGCCCAAGTGCCCAAGTGCGCAATGCCCATCAGTCACCACGTCACAATTCTGAGGCATCGCCCCCCACGAATTGACTTGCCTGCCTGCCACGCAGTGTTCCCCACTGATGGCCCTCCATCACACAACACAAGCCCTGCCCCAACCCCCACCCACCTCCCCTCCTCCCTGCTCATGGCAATCACTGTTGCTCTTACCCGGGATAGATGCGAGCCAGAGAGTCATTGCGTGCATGCGCATGCGCGGGGGGAGAAGGGGAGGGGATGGGAGGGAGAAGTGGGGCAAGAACGAGCAAGGAGTGGGCAGCGCACCTGTCAGGCGGCGAGTACTTGACCTTGTGTAGCAGGTTGTCGAAGAGCTCCGCCTGCACCGCACAGCACCGCACCGCACCGCACGCAGTGACACCACGCCAGGCATGCCCACAGATACCACACCACAATGCGCGCATGGAAGGGGAGGGAGAGGGAGGGGCAGGAGGAGGGGAAGGAAGGGGAGGTGGGTCGCAACAGTCCTCACACCAATGTTCCTCGTCCATCTCACATCATTCCCCTTTTTTCGGCCCCATCCTGACTTCCCTGAAAAACACCATGCCCCAACTTCCCGCTCTCCATACCTCCCCTGACGCGCCCTCCGCCCGTCCCTCCGCCCATCCCGCCGCCCGTGTCTCCCCCCCCTCACCTTGAACATGTCCAGGAAGAAGGCGTTCAGCGCGGACAGCGGGGCGGGCGGGGGGTCGTGGAACACTTCCGCCTGCAGGTCCGCCACCGCCTTCATCTCCTCGCGCGCGGCCATGCGCACGCGCCACTTCCCGCTCTCCACTCTGAACTCCCCGCTCGCTTCCCCTGCTTCCCCCTCTTCCCCCGCTCCCTCCGCTACCGTCGCAACAACCGCTCCTTCCGCCGGAACTGCCGCCGCCAGCTGCTCATGCCGTTGCTCCGACGGTGGCGGAGGCGAATCGGAGGCGCCTTGCTGCCATGCCGCGATCGTCTCGCCTTCCGCGGCCGTGGCTCCCCCCGCGCTCTCCGCGTCTGCCCCCCATGCGATGGGCGCTAATCTCCGAGCGGGGCGGGAGTGACGCGCGGGTTGGGGGGGATGCGGACGGCGATGCGGTAAGCGCGGACCAGCCGAGGAGGAGGACGATAAGTCTTGCGCGTGCCTCTGCCGCGCAGCGACGAACGCGCGTGAACGAGCTCGCGCGTGCGCATGCAAGTGCGCCGGCGCGCGCAGGATGCAGTGCGCGAAGGCGGACTGCGCGAAACAGGTTTCCGCGGCGTGCGGTACGGCAGCGCGCTGTAGAAGGGCGCTGCCACTGCCGGACGGGCCGCTTCGGAATTCCGTCGCGCTGCTGCCACTGGTGGCAAGGACTGTCGCGCGATGCGACAAGTTTCCAATAGCCTCTACTTCTTGGGTCCGGTTGGGTAGAAGGCGGCGGGGTGCGGAGAGGTGGAGTGGGAGAGAGACAGAGAACACGAGGGGTGGCAAAGGGTGGTCCACTCGCTTACACGCAGCGAACGGGAAAGACGGCATTGTTGGCAAGCCTTGCGGCAGCATTGCTGGCGGAGGACGTGAGGGTGCGACATGGGATGACAGGGCGAAGGCGGAAGCCATTATTAGTCTAGAGCAACGAGAAGTGCGCCAATGACCACTATTCTGGTGGCTTGGTGGTGTATCGGGAGCCTTTCGTGGTGAGGTGCAGAAGGAAGAAACAACAGGGTACGAAGTGTAGCAGGTTATGCAGTTGCTCGTTACCGCATAAACTAAATTGTTATGAGTTGTGAATTAAAAGAGTGCGCGGAATGCAATATTGAAGATGTGCTTACAACTACTGCTTGAATCATGAAGCCTATAACAGATATAGCGAAAGGCTAGCTAGGCGGGGTCTTTGGGGTCGCAAGGATGGGTGCTGGTTCGGGGTGTCAGAAGTAGAACGTAGGAATGATTGACTAAGTAGGAAATGTGGTACAAGTACTAACCCTAAGAAGGGTTGTACCCCATAGGGAGTGACCCACTACAGCCTAACAGTGTATGTTTGACACACCCCCATAGGCGAAGTGGGGAACAACAAGAGGTCACATGACCAGTCAAGAGAAGAAACAAAGAACAAAGCTCAGGGTGGAGGTCACCACACATCCCAAGCACAAGCAAGCGGCCACAAGGCCAGTTCACACGCAGTTTTATAATAGAGCAAGCAGTACAATGATTACAACCTAGCAACTAGAGACATGCAGGTTTATATATGAAAGTACAAGGCAAGATGAAGAGACAAGCAGTGTTTGCCCGTGTGGCCACATACGAAAGGCGAGCTGGGAACGCTGCTGCAACATTCGCACGGCAAAGGAACGAAGTGCAAAGTGCTACGTTCTGCTCGCGAGTCCGACCAAGTAGCGCAGCACCCTCTTAGCAGCCCGCCAATGCACAGGGTGGTGTCTTCCGGGCGCAACGCAGCGAGTCCGGATGCTGAGAGGGTACGGCAGGTACTCCAGCTCGAACTGCCTGTCCTCAAGGACGTCACAGCCAAGGGCAAGCTCACCCCCGACGGACGGAGGACACGAAGAGACAGAAAAGAGACCCGCAATGTAGGTACGACGGCAAGTAGCGGCAAAGCCAATGAGTTCAGCTACTAAGGCAGAAGCAGCAGCAGTCGAAGAAGCATGTGCAGGCAAAAGAGCGGCTAGACAACGAGGGATAGTCGGGCTAGCAGCACGAGCAAGGTCAGACACTGGGTCAGGAACTGCAGGAAGAGAAGACGGGGGAGGTAACTGCAGGACAACATGCTCTCGAGTAACACGAGAGGTAGCAGGGGAGGCGGCACAAGACACAGGCACCGGACGCCCAGTCAGAGGGGAGTCAGGCGGCAACTGTGTTCGAGACATGTCAGGCGGCGGAAACAACAGAGGAGGAGTAGTACAAGTGGGCGTCGGCTCAGCAAAGGAAGGCGGGAGTCTGAGAAGGTGGTAAAGCGCCGACTCAGGTAGCGACGACGACGGCTGCTCAAAGAAGATAGGCCGTCGCGGCAGCGACTGCGACGCGCCCCCAGACTCAGCACCTCCAGCGCCAATACATCCATCTCCACCAACAAGAGGACTCCTAGCACCCCTAGTGTCAGCAGCCCTAGAACCAGCACCCCCAGAACCAGCACCCCCAGAGCCAGCACCCCCAGAACCAGCACCCCCACAGCCAGCACCCCCATCATCACCACCCCCAACAACACCTGGGCCCCCGAAGTCCACAGCGACAGGCTGCAGAGGAGGCGAAGACGTCCGAGGCGGAAAACCCGGCGGTGTCTCCAAGCGCGGCGAGCAGCGAGAGGTCGCTGTGTCAGCAGCGGCCGGGTCACCCCCTTCAATCGGGCCAGAGGAGTCAGAGGGGTGCGCATAGACTAGTCCAGAGGTGGGGTCGGCCAGAGTGACAGGGACCGAGAGCAACGCCTCTGCAGGAACTGCACCTGTGCTAGTAGGCGCACAAGCAGCGACACACGGAGACTCTAAATGCTGCTGCCCGCCCCCGCCACTCTCGCCAGCTCCACTACGACCACCCTCGTCAGCTACAGTGGCGAGGTCTGACAGCGCAGGGAAGGTAAGAGGCAGCGCAAGACAGCCTAGGGTGGCAAGAGAGGGGGGGCGGGGGGGGGGGGTAGCGCCTAGCCACAGCTGTATATAAAGCATGGGCCGACGGCATCTGGCGAAAGTTGGCGCTCTGGTCCAGCGAGAGGTGAACGCGGACTGCAAGTTTGGCGGCGGCGTCGCGCGCCATCCACCGCTTGTAGGCAACGTGAGGGCGTAGAACTGCGTCTGCACCTCCTCCACAGCGTCAGCAGCATGCTCAGCAGGAGCCTCGGGGGCCGGAAGGGACCCCGACGTGTGCTCGGAAAGGGAGGCGTTGGTCTGAGTGACACTCTGGAGGTACTGGTGCAAACCCTCTAGCCAGGACTCAAACTGTATCGGGTGGCCCTCGGCATCAAAGGTGAGCACAGTGGGAGTCGCCATAGCAACAGTAACGGCAGCAGCAGTGGCAGTGATAGCAGCAGCAGCAGCAGCAGTAGCGCTAGGCGGCAACAGCAGCGCAGGCGGCAGCAGCAGCGCGAGCAGGGCAGAGCGAGAGCTCTGGGCAGGGCAGGGCACGCTCAAGGCAGGGCAAGGCAGTCGCGCGCAGGCAGCGCACGGCGCAGGGCAGCGTGCGGGCGGCAGCTGCAGCAGCGGCACGTGCGCGCGAGCAGGGCAGGCGCGAGGAGCGCTTGCAGGGCAAGGCAGGGGCACGCGGCCCCTGGGCAGCGGGGCACGCGAAGGTACGGGGCAGCAGGGCGCGCGCGGGCGCTGGGCAGCGGGGCGCGCGCTGGCGCTGGGCAGCGGGGCACGCGCGGGCGCTGGGCAGAGGGGCGCGCGGGGGCGAACAGGGCAGCCGGGCGCGCAGGGCAGCAAGGGCGCGCACGGGCGCGCAGGGCAGCAAGGGCGCGCACGGGCGCTGGGCAGCGGGGCACGCGCGGCTGGGCAGCGGGGCGCGCGCGGGCGCGCTGGGCACGCGCGTGGCGAGCAAGGCAGCGCGCGGCGAGCAGGGCAGCACGCAGCGAGCAGAGCAGCGCGCGGCGAGCAAGGCAGCGCGCGGCGAGCAGGGCAGCGCGCGGCGAGCAGGGCAGCGCGCGGTGAGCAGGGCAGCGCGCGGCGAGCAGAGCAGCGCGCGGCGAGCAGGGCAGCGCGCGACGAGCAGGGCAGTACGGGCAGCAGCGCAGCACGCGCGGCAGCAGGGCAGCGCGGGGCAGGGCAACGCGATAGCGCCGGACAGGGCAGGGCAGCAGCGCGACGGCGTACTGGGCAGGGCAGGGCAGCGCGCGGCGAGCAGGGCAGCGCGCGACGGCAGCAGCTCCTGGGGCAGTACGTACGGTTGGTGGGCCCTAACGGAGCGGTCTTACGGAGGGACCTGCTCTGAATACCATGTCAGAAGTAGAACGTAGGAATGATTGACTAAGCAGGAAATGTGGTACAAGTACTAACCCTAACAAGGGTTGTACCCCACAGGGAGTGACCCACTACAGCCTAACAATGTATGTTTGGCACGGGGTTGCCAAACCCAAAGGCGACGCGAAGTATGTTCGGAAGGCGATGTCATCGGACCCAACTGTCGAAGTAACTAGAGTACCGTAGGAGCCATGGCTAGGCTAGGAAGAGTAGCGTGATAGGTTCACGAGAGGGAAAAAGAGGGTTTCAATATTGAAAACAAGTACAAGATATAATGCAAGGGGAGGTGGCAAAGGGGGGTATACCACCAACAGAGAACACTACGATGATACTACACCAACTAGTATACATGCGGTTGCAAGAATACAATTCGAACACCAGCCTGGGTCTTCGAAAGTTGGAATTGTACGCGTACAGAATGACCCATAAAGACTAGGAAAACTCCTTACACTACACCCCCCCCCCCCCCCCCCCCCCCCCCCACTTTTAAGAAAGGTGGTCAATATCCAGGGCATGTCGGCGGGTCAAATATTACCGTAATACCGAATGTACCTGGAGCGAGTCAGAAATGACCCACGTGCGTGTCTTCGCTCGTGCGATCTGCCCATCGTATGAAAACTTCGACATGCCGTCCGGTTGTCGTTAAGCGCACGTGATGAGTCAAAATATTCCACGGCTGAAGTGTCGGGTCTGCCACAGGCCTCTCATAGTATGAACATCGGAATTGATGACTAAGAAACAAGGGTGGTAGAAATAGCAACCCTAAATGTATTATACCCTCTATAACTAACCTCACTATAGCCTAACATCATGATATATAAATTGACACACCCCCATAGGCTAAGTTAGGGATAGCAAGAGAGAGCAAGAAACACAAAAGGTCACAAGACCAGTCAAGAGAAGCAACAAAACAAAGCGCAGGGTGGATCTCAAAGAGACCACACAGTCCGAGCACAAGCAAGGGGCCACAATGCCAGTTCAAGAGTTCACAAGTATATATAAAAGCAAGAACGCACAGAGCAAGAAACAAGAGGCAAGGCTACAGCAATCGAGGGCCTGCCTCAACAAGGCCTAACTGCAGACAGAACCTGTGATGGTCACCAGGCGGAAGGGCCTTGGGGAAGATGTCTGCTGTGTTGGCCGCCGAGGCCACAAAGTCCAGGCGTGCCTGGCCGCGTCGCTGGAGCTCTCGCAGGAGAAAGTACCTCGCGTCAATGTGCTTCACTCTGCTCTCCAGTCGAGGCTCTCGACAAAGGAGGATCATGGCCTTGTTGTCATCGAACAAGGTCGGAGCAGAGCGAGGCTGCTTAAGGTCAATGAGCAAGAAGGTCAACCAATGAAGCTCCTGCGCAGCCATGGCACCAGCATAGATCTCTGCCTCTGCGCTAGACTGTGCCACATACGACGACCGAGTAGACCGCCACGACACACCACCAGCGCCCAAACTGAAGCAGTAAACCTGAGTTGACCGCTGGGTCTCCACGTCGTCAACGTAGGAAGAGTCGCAGTGACCGGTCAGCACAACTAGCTCTCTCCCTCCAAGCACAAGCCCCAAGCCTAATCTAGTCGCCAGGTACTTCGCCACCCTCACAGCAGCCG